AAAACAACTGTACTTACAAAATATTTACTTTGAGACATGCTTCCCAACCTGATAAAGAGCACAAAGGAGATGTGTGTGTTGGAATATGAAAGATAGTCAACATATTCCATACACTGGTTTGGGAAAGCAAGAAGTACTGTTATATAAAAGCAAAGGATCTTGTCCTCTGAGTAGTGCATACTGGGAAAACATCAAATCCCTCTATTAGTGCACATAGAGGACTTCCCTTCAGGTAGTAAAGGGGGGGAAATGACAAGGCTAAGAGTTAAACTTAGCACAGTAAAAGCAGATCCTTCCTGTATAGGGACTGGCCAGCAGGATACCTCAGATCCCTCCAGAGCTTGCTAATGCACAGATACCTCTCCTTGGAAAGTACGCAAGTTTAAAGGCTTAACATAAGAGAGGAAGAGTCTAAAACAACAGCCAAAGTTCAGTCTATGGCACGTTTCCAGGCCTTCTTGGTGTTTCAAGTCTTTTCATGCTGCCTTGTATATAAAAATAGTGAGACCCAGTAGTCCAATGATGTGGGGATTTTAAACTGGCATGGATGTGCTGACTTGCTCTCTGGCCTGTTGTATTTTTCTGTCACAGCCTTGTTAATGCCATGTTAGTCAGCCAGCCTTCCTTCCTTTAATAAGGGGCGGAATCTAGTTACAATACTGTGCAGTCTATGCCCAAGCACACGCACCTGAGCAACGACAGACTTGCTGGGTCTCATCTTTCACTGCTTCAATGCAGATTCTGCTGACAAGTCAAGGAGCCCTACAGAGACCCAGCCGTCTTGTGTTCACAGACGTTGCCAATGCCATCAATGCATGAACAATACCTGCCCCTGCTCTGGGATCGTGCTGAGACTGGGGAGGATGAAGCCAACAAACCAGTGACTTCCCGCAAGCGTGGCTGATCCACTGAGCCCAGCTGGTCACCCCGTTGGTTTGTGTTACAAATGGGCACAAGCACTGGGAACTGTTGTCACTTTGGGAAGCAAACCCTTTGTGATGGCAGTGGTGATTTTTTGGTGCATCTGTTACCACTAAAAGGTCCTGAGCTCCAGATTCTGGGCTGCTGCTGACTGATACCATCTACCAAGCTGCGTGCTTAGGAACAGTGCCTGCTTTGTTGTAGATTAACTTGTCAGAGCACATGTGCGCGCTCTCTGGGTCAGGGAAGGAGGAGAGGTGCATGTTTCAGAGAGCTTCCCCGTTGGCTTTGTGCCACCAGACCACAAAGAAAGCAATGAATGAGCCTCTCTGTACAGTGACCATGGCTTTGGCAGATCCTGGAGGGGTGACTGGTGGCAAAGCCCCTTTGAAGCAAGGAGAGATGACTCCCCTAGCTGAGTGGTAATCTGGGGCACACCAGGGAAAACACACACCATGGGCTTATCCCCCCTGTGGCATGTGGGCTGCTGATAAATGTGCACCCAGGGTGATGTTGAAGCATGGGGAATTCACTAGCTTTAAAAAGCGAAATGGTGAACATTTGACTGATTACATCTTAACTGAGGAAGTGGCTGAATATCCCAAATTAGGGCTGCCATATAGACAGAGGGGAATTCACACAGCTAGAGGCAGGGGGTGCCAATGTCTGGCTATGTGACTCCCTGCCACTGAGCTAGGAATAATGGTGCTTGGGCCACAGAGAGGAGTCAAGTAGAACTGGGGTTCCGATACCATGTATCCCCCTTCCTGCTTTGGCTCAGGGAAGTTTCTACAGTGCAGAGCATTATCCAGAAAAAAGATTAAGCCTTGAAATATTTTCTTTTAAATAAGGAAAAACATGTATTGGCTCAACATTACAACAGCCCCATGTCTGCCCCTAGAGGTGACTGAACAGCTGGTTCGTACTTCCTTACCTGCCCAGACCTG